TAGAATGAGGTGGCTGCCGTGTACGATAGAAAGTCGGGTGTAACCTAGAGGGGTGACAGGGATGGGCCAAGGGGCGGCCATTGCGGAGAATCACAGAGTATCAGCTGCTGTGTACGGAGTAAAAGGATACCGCTGCAATGAAGAGTTGTTTGGCTGAGGCGTAGAGGGTCGGCTACCGTGGCTGAAGGGTGTGCGCAGAACAGCAGTTGGTGCGGGACCTAGGTCGACTTGGTTTTCTATGTTTTCGCCAACCCGGGGATGAATATCAACTGTCCCCTGCCCTTGCAAGAGGCGGATGTTTTTTTTTTAATCCAATGTTATGCGCAATTGAAGATCTTCGAAGTGCTCTTATCAAACTGCACCGGCGGTCTGTTGTCCCTTCTGGGTACAACCACGGCAGATTTCCGCCATTTTCCCGATCAGGGGATTTCACCGCACCATCCCCCCCCCATCGAGCGTTTTTTTCTTCTCTCTCTCCAATGCGATATCCTATCGTATGCCAAAGATATCCGAGGTCTACCTTGCCCAAATGGCACGTTTCTGCCAATAACCCTCAAACCGCCCTTATATTATGAATTTTCCAACCCGCCCTTATATTTAGAATCGGAGGAAGTATTTATTTTCATGCCCCACCTTTCTCCTGCGGTGCGTGCTGAATTTTATTTTTATCGCGAGAAGGGTCCAGCCGTCCCTTTCCCTCGTCAACAGCGCTAACGTCGAAGTTTGGTACTCACGAGAGCTTTTTAGCTATATTTCGCTTTCACCCGCAAATTTCGTAATTTTTTCACCCCATGGGGATTCGAAGTCGCGACCTCTGCGACTAGCGGATTACAAGGTACCACTAGACCACCGGGGCGACCGGATATGCGCGAGGGTGGTAGCCGATGCTGATGGTGCTCGACATGAGTGATTTTTGTGGTGCTCGACGAAGGTGCGTCTTGCACGTGTTGCGCGTACGTAGGNTAAATTTCGTAAATTTTTCACCCCATGGGGATTCGAACTCACGACCACTGCGACTAGCGGATTACGAGGGTACCACTAGACCACCGGGGCGACCGGGAGTGACTGCACAGCGGGGTACCTTACCTTTTGCGATTCCTGCCTCCCTCTCAGTCCTCCCGCTGCCTTTGTTCGCCCTAGACCTTCACCAGGAACCGAGTGCTTCGCACCTTGGAGTGCTGTGGGGCTTTGGAGCTCTGTTGGGTTGTTTGTGTGGAGCATGCGACAGGCCAGCTCTCAGCAGGACTCGCTTCCGTGCAGAAGGGACCGCGGACCGCAGATCTCTCGCTGTGGGTGGGTACGTTGGTTCCGTGCGGAGGAACTGCTGACGTTTCGCTGGTTCCATGTCCATGAGTTTTTCCGACGAATCCATGTTTCCATGTTTCCATCGCCTCTGGGCCTCTGGGCTGGTGGCGATGGGCGAGTGTCAGTTCCCACTCCTTGCAGAAGAGCACATAGCACACGAGGCACATACTTCCTGGCCTCCAGTTTGAGAGTTACGTACAATCCTGGCTACCGACGCGTAAACCGGCTGTAAAAAACAGGCAGGACAGGTGTTGTTTGTTTTTTTTTGTTTTTCTCCCATCATTGGACTCTGCCGTCTGCCCCTCTGGCCCCTATCCTCCACTTCTACTGGCTAGACGACCCAACCGGGGTCACATAGGAGGGGGGGGTTGGACCCCCTCCTGCGGTTCATGCATGAGGTATTGTTATCGCGAGAAGGGTACAGCGATCCCTTCCCTCGCGACTTACGAAGTCGATTATGGTTTAGTCTACTAGACTAAATAACAAACGAGCTTTGCAGCGCGTCGCTTTCATCCTAAACAGGATTATATTTAGTAAGAAAAAAACTCTCTCTACCGGGACTCGAACCCATGACCTGGCCCTCAGCAGGCTGCGAGGCTACCCACTAGACCACCGGGGCAATCGGGTGGTGTGTAGGTACCGTAATAATCGGGGTCTTGGCGCATATCGGGGTCTTGGCACAGTGTGGGCGAAAAAAAAGCGGGTCCTAATGATTTGCTAGATTATCGCACAGGTATCGTCGTCTCCGCACAGTGTGCGGAGACACCGAAATGTGAGTGAGGTTTGGCTGTAAGTGATACCCTTTCACCAGCATCTTGTGCTGGAAATTCCGGATACTGTGGGAGCTTGAATCGCGTGCTCCACTGCTACTGCTGCCCTTGGCACCATGACGATGTTCAAAAATGTGGTATTTGAACTCTTTGTTCTCTTCGTTTCGTTCTGAAGGATCAAGACCGGCAAATCGGCAACGGCAGCCACTCAACAATTCTAAACGCAGATGAAACCAAAAACGAAGTAAATAATCACACCAAACTACCACTACGAGCTACCAACGTCTTATATAGAAGAAGAATGCGTCTGGCTCATGTAGGTGTAACTGAGAACACACAGCTACCGTCTTACATGTAGGCAACATGATCATCGCTTTCCAAGTTTTAGCGGAAAACCACATAGCGAATCGGCCAACTTGAACGATCAGGTTACGACAGAATGTCGGTGTGTGGATATTTGAAAAATATACTAATGATGCTCTCTTGTGATGAAGTCAAAGGTCACCGTAGCCACATTATTTTTTAAGTTGCCAGGTGTATCGAGCAAAGCTTGAACAACTCTTCTTGTAAGGTCGCATCTGAGAGTAAATCAGGGGCGGAGACCCATGGGTTCTAAGTTGAGGAAACTCTGCAACTTCGGCGAGGACGGAGGATCTGTCTCAAGATGTTCAATGAAGGCCGGATTTGACTGAGGATCATGTTTGGCTTTGCTGGAAAACAAATTTTCGCTTGTTCGTGTGCGAGGACAAGCGCGCAGCCATTCGGTCATCCTACCAAGGTTGGGAGAACCCATGTTGTCGAGGACACCCTAACGTGTTGAGCAGAGGTACAACTTGCCTGACGGGTGTGTGGTGAGTGTTACTGTAGACCCATGTTGGGGGATAGGTGGTCCTGCAAGCGGTGGGGGCTACGGTTTAACTGGGCTACAACAGGGGGGGGGAGGGGGGCAGGTTCGGTTAAAGAGAATCGGGGTTCGATTTAAGAGAGGGGTGTGTTGTGTCTAGCTATTTTGCTCTCTTAAACCGGCCATTATCTTAAAGTGAGCTCTCGTAAACCGTAGCCCCTACGGTAGTAGGCCTATGTGTCTTGAAATTTTTTCACGTATACCCTTGGCATGACCGTAGGAAATAAGAACCCCCGCTTCCGCCAAAACTAAAGGTTCCCAAGTGCAGGCGCGGTCAGTAACGTCTAACTTGGACACATTTTTTCTCTGAAGTCTGTGCCTGCATCTCGGTTCTCCATGGAACAACCGTAGGCGTGGTAACTGGTTCCAAACGAGCACCGAGATATCATGATGAGACTATCAAAGAACTAGCCACTTCAAGGAACGCCTCCAGTCAAGCACACGTGTAGAGATAAGAGATAGAGATCCTCTGCCTAAAGGATGCAATCTCCCCAGCGTCTATCGAGGGCAACTCGGTCCTTCCAGGGCTACAATTGTCTGTACAGAACATTAGAGAACTTAGTTGGTTAGATAGGCCCACGCTACAGCCGGTATGCGGTGTATTTGCTCGCACCACCACCAAATGACCTTTTCTACGTGGTCAAGAACAGGGAGGCTAACGTTGGTCGCCAAGAGAAATCTTCAGAGGACTTGGAACCCCAACCCCGCCATAAACCCGGTGCAATCTCTGCTTTCTGTTTCCTCCACGAGGAAGTCAGCCGCGCGGATTGCTCAAAACATTTACCAGTGGGGGTGGCGCGTCGATTCTGCGCAAGGAAACAAGCCCTTCTATACGGGCTGCCTTCCGTACACATTCCTCCGGCAGAACCTACGCAGCAGCCCCCACAACCGAAACCGAAACGACAAAAATGGGAGGAAACCGTACGCTGACGCGTGGTAGATGTGGGCCTACCTTCCCGTCAGCACCACAGACAGCAGCAGTAGGTGGCTGAACCCCAGAGTTCGGTTGTTACGAAAAACATTAACTCTTCACCCCCTTCACGGCTTTCCTATGCGAAACCAGTGCATGAGTTTCCATGCGTCGTTTCCTTCACAGATGTTGCTATCTACCCGAAAACAAGCGGTTCTTCGGAGTTGAAACAAGGAAATGAAACGACAGCGGGGTGAGCGAGGGCCGTTTCTGAATGTAACAGCACGCCAAGGAAATAAGCTCCCAGAGTGCCCTGAAGGTCGTAGGTAGCAAGCTTTCCTGGCCTGGTTGCTGCCAGACGACCACTCCCATTACCGCAGGTGACGCAAGGTACCACACCCTCTGGACTGAAACTCGGTTACTCGACGACGACGAGGATGCACAACCGAAAACGACGCGCTTTCGTAAAGCTCTCGAGGAGGCGGCTCAAACGCTGCGGTTTTTAGGTACCCCACTCTCTCTGCGTGTGGAGAATTACAGCGTTGGAATCTGTCCGGCCGGGGGGGCGGGGGTGATATCTAACGTCATCTACGGTAGGCGGTCCGATGAAGGCGGCATGTTTCCCGAGAAAAAATCGCTTATGAAATCTCCTCAACGCTCCACGCGACAAGCGCATTTAGCACCCTCTTTCAAAAACGTGCAGGCTCTTCTTCTCCCTCGCTCTTTCCGACAGGCGAGACCACGAGAATGGGAAAAAAAAAAGAATGGACAACGCTGAGCACACAATCACTTGGCTACGTGGATTGGACAGAACAATGCAAATGAACGCAATAATGCTAATGTTGTAGCTCATGAACCTTCCCTAAAAGACGCTTGGGTAGCAGCAACAGCAGCTATGTTGCAATGGTCTCATTGTTCTACTTGGCCTTTTTTTGTCCGTTGGGCTTTCGTCCGTTGACTTCTAGGAGGAGGCGGCGATGACAGTGGCGGCCTCCTTGGGGGGCTCCGTGGACTCCTCGCTCTCCACGACCATAGCCTCCGGGGCGCCCGCCTTCGACTGAAGCAAGCACAAGCACGGACGAAAACGGAGATACGGGAAATCTAAATCCCTGCGGGGGCGGCGGGGTGGGGAGCATTTTCGTACTGCGACACCGCTAGAGCGGGGGGGGGGGGGGCTTCACACACTGCGGCACCGCTACCAAACCCTAACCCTAACCCTCAAATGGCACCGCTAGGGGAACGAGAGATGCAGTCCCGTGAGGCTGTTCTACGACAGCTAAATCAAAACTCGTGTGGACCCCAACGCGATTAGTCACACACGTACAAGTTTTACGGAGGCTTGGGGAGCGGAACGACAGGCGAAACGGGGAAAGAACCCTGCTCTGCTCACCTTGGTACCAGCGACCGCAGCAGCGTCAGAGGCGGTGGAGGCATCACCTCCCTCAGCGGCACTCTTCTTCCTTTCCTCTTCCTCCTCCTCCAGCATTTCCTTTTCCTCCTGCGCCCGCCTCGCACGCTGGATGAAAAAAAATGAGCGCACATGAAGTTAGTTCATATTTGGAAAAAAACGGTAAACGTTCATGTAGTCTCTGCCCGTAAATGTGGTCATTTGTCGGCTGCCATGTGCAGTCCGTTGTGCTCAAAACGGGAATATACCATGTATGGGGTGTTCATTGTTTATGTAAACCAATTTCATTTATTGGGTTTTTCGAAGACAAGTCCGTGAAGCAGGCAGTAAATTTACCGCGGGGTATCTCAGGACTCGGTGGGAATCGGGGTTTCGATGAAAACGGGCCGGGGCTCAGCAAGGAAGCTGTCTTCCCTGAGATATTTGTAGACAAATCTCCGGGAGTTGCGGGACCTTTTTTCCTTGACCGTGTTGGCCGGGCAGCAAGAACTCGAAACAACACAAGTAGACATCAGACAACAAAACAGCCAACAAGACCAACACCAACAAAAGCATCAGCACGAGCACCGACATGATCACTAACAACAGCAACAGCAACGGCAACCCTAACACCAACGCCAACAACATCTCACCCGCAGCAACTCAGCAGCAACAGCTACAGCTATAGCTGTAGAAATAGCTATAGCTACAGCTATAGCTACAGCTATGCAACCCCAACAACACGACCAACAACAATACAACAACCAAAGACCACAACCACAGTCAATGCGACACTTGAAGCAACAGCTATGCAGCTACAGCATCAACACCTCAGCAGCCACAGCGACAGCCGCAGGTTCAGCAGCAGCAACGACACCTCGGCAGAAGCAGCAACAACAGCAACAGCAACAGCAACAGCAACAGCAGCAGCCACAGCTTAAGCTACAGAATCAGCAACGACACCTCGGCAGAAGCAGCAACAACAGCAGCAGCAACAGCAACAGCAGCAGCCATGTAGCAGCAACGACACCTCGGCAGTAGCAGCAACAACAACAACAACAACACACACACACACACCTTGGCGGCCGTCTTCTTGGCAGAAGCCTCCTTCCTAGCGGCGGCCCTGGCAGCCAACAGCCCAGCCTTCTCCTCCACTAGCCTCTGGTATTCCGCCTGGCATTTCAAGAAACGTTTCGCATGAAACGCGTGGCGGAAAAACGACGAAAGTTGAGAATTACAGTATCGGGGATGACCCAGAGGCCTCGGAAGCGAAGGAGGCGGAGGAGCTTTTGCGGGAAATAAGCACTGAAGGGCCGCAAGCACCCTTGAAAACCAACGGGCAGAAAGCACCCTTGGTTCTCTGTCGTTTTGTTCTTTGATCTTTGATGTTCGCAGAAACCCTTGCATACATCCGATGCACGAAAAGTATACAGGCAAAAGTTTCTCCGCCTCCGCTTCAAGGGCCTCTGAGACTAAAAACTTGAACGGCAGCATATGTGTGGGGGAAAAAAACAATACGTGCAGCACTCGCCATTGGGGCTCTCTGGAGCAGTTTCTGTGTTATTTTTAATAGGTATACGATGAACGAAAAATTATTACCTGCAAGAGTTCCTCCGCCTCCGCTTCCAGGGCCGCCCTGGCCTCGGCGTCCGCGATGCGGCGGGGAATGGCGGCATCCTCGTTGGCAAGCAGCATGCTGTGGCACGAGGACTCGATCTGGGCGTTCTCGACCTCCTGGTGCACGCGGTTGAGTCCAGCCGCTCGCTGGTCGGCCACCTGTGCGAATATATAATTAAATAAATACATGAAAGTGCCGAAAACATTTCGTTTTTTCAACAGCATTGAATACTGCTGTGTACGGAGTGTACAGTGCTGTAATTCTCAAAACGTGGTTATAAGGGGACCAAGTTGTAGGTACAGACGCTATTCTACTAAGAGCAGAACAAACAACAGCTCACACGCTACGATGGGGGTGCTTACCTCCTACAATGTTCCTAACGGCATGTCTTTGATCCTGCAAACAAAACGCCCCACCGGCCGGCAGAAACGCTGTGAGCGCTCGCTGATTCAAAGGCAACGAAGAGAAGCAAACAAAGAAACACCTTGGCGTAACCCCCGAGACGCATCTTGAGGCGAGCCTCCAGCTTGCGAGCGCGGCCGGCTTGAGCGTCGGCCTCAGCGCGAAGAGCCTGGTCGTTTCGGCGGCGTGGTCCACGAAAAGAAACAAAATAAGGAAAAGCAATACATGTGTGGGCCCTTCCTGTACGGCATGGGACCGCTCATGAACAGCAGCAGTGCCTCGGAGCGATGCCCGGCGGACGCGATGCTGACACGACAAGCATGCTGTGTTTCTTGGTTTTGACGCGAACAATCCTGCTCCCTCACAGCAGTATATCCAAGCGGTGCCTGGTGGATGCGATACTGCACCAGCGAGCAACGCTGCTTTATCGGTCTTCTGCAAAACAACGCGCTCGCGCACAGCAGCGGTGCCTGGCGGATGCAATGCTACAATAGCAAAGCCATGCCGTGCGTTCTAGTGGTCAATGCATCGAGGCGTTCGTGCACAGCAGGCAAGCATGCCGTGCTTCCTCGGATAACAGTATAGTACCTCGAAGCGGTGCCTGGTGGATGCGATGACGCTTCAAGTGAGCACAATTGTGCCTTCTCGTAAATATTTTCTGCCACGCAAGCTGCTCACGCCCAGCGCTACAGCACCTCCAAGCGGTGCCTGAGAGACTTTTTACACGGCATACGATGCGGCTTCTATTCCCACCACGTACGGGCCACAAAAACATCCCACGACGAACAGAAAGCATGTTGTGCCCTCGCAGTTTTGTTAGCATCGAGTTGCACTACCGCTGTACCTCGAAGCGGGGTGCCTGGCGGATGCGACACTGCGATGGCCAGCATGCTGTTAACGCACAGCAGCGAAGATCGCGGAAACAAATTCTTGGCACAACGATCTACCGTAGATTGCGCAAGATACCACGCCTCCCGGACCGATCTTCAGAGTTCGAATACTCGACGAAGGAGAGGATGACGAAATGAAATGATACGTTTTCGGAGGAAAAGCTTTCCAAGAGACGGTTCCAACGTCGCTCCTTTCGGCACCGTCGCCACTGCATTACCTGCTGAGTAATTGGGCTTCGAAAATCGGTCCAAGTGGATTTGACATAACATCCAACCTACGGTACAATAGCCTGCAACTAAATTACTAATCAAGGCGACCTCTCCCCAGTAGATCGAGATGTTGGCTGTCACTACTACACCGCGATATTTATATCGCGACCGCTAGAAACTGCTGTGGTACCTCGAAGCGGTGCTTGGCGGACTCGATCCTGTCGGCCTTTGTGGCGGTGGAGACCCTGCCGTAGGCATTCCTGCTGGGGAAGTACGCCCACTCCGAGAAGCACGCCTCCCACGTGGCGTTGAACTCCTCCAGCGAAGGGAACTCCTGAAACCGCCGTCACAAAAAATCAAATCACGCGTCGTGACGCCATTGCGGCACGAGGGTGCGGGAAACCGTCACAATCCAGTGCAAAGTCTTCGCGAGGGCATATGATAAACCTTAAATTAACCTCGGTGCTGGTTGGACCCGTACCCTAATCTTAAGTGAAGACACGACAAATCACCTGGTTGTCGTCAGACTCTTGCTTGATCATGAGGCGAGTGTTCGTTAAGATGAAAATAAAGCAGATGAGAACCAAGCACACTAAATAACTGCTGTCAGAGCGAAAGAGCCAACAAGTCAATCACCTGGTTGTTTTCCTCAGCCTCTTGTTCGATCATGAGGCGAGCGTTTGTTAGCTCTTCCTCCTCGAAGGTCTCGATCTCAGGGATGGCTCCTGACGGCATTTGATAGATATACGGTTACAGCAGTAGGGTTAGCAACAACGGTACGAGGAGAGAAAACGGCTCCTGACGGCAATTGATAAAACTACGGTTTCAGTAGGGTTAGCAAGAACAGTATGAGGAGAAAAAAAGTTTGGCGTTTGAAGGCGTCAACGCTATCTGCTGACAGGAGTAATTGTTAAGAGTCTGCAAGCCGTTTTTCTCTGTGAGTGTAGGAGAGCATGCGCCCTCCGTGGTACCTGTGGTGATGGAAGGCATCAGAGTCAAATCGACCAGTCGGGGGTTGGAAGGCAAAGATTGCACCTTTTCAACGTGAAAAAAACGGCAACAGCAGCAGCAGCAGCAGCAGCAGCAGCAGCAGCAGCAGCATCGACACTGGACACCCACATCGATCAACATGACAACAGCGACACCAACGCCAACGCGAGCACCACCACTCCCACCTGACATCATCGCGGCCGCAGCGGCAGCCTGCGCCTTCTTCTTCTTCTTCTTCCTCTTCTTTCCGCCGTCACCACCACCCCCGCCGTCATCTCCCCCCGCCGCCGCAGCAGCAGCAGCAGCAGCGGAGGCGGCCGCGGCGATCGCGGAAGCCGAGGGGTAAGCGGCAGAGTCGTGCTCCACAAGCCGTGCCGCCTCCGCCTTCACGAGAGCCTCGGCGGCCGCGAGGGCGGAGTCTGCACGGGGCCCCGCGGATGAAAACGCCTCAGATAGGGACCTGGCGAAAACAGCAGAGGCGTTACCGGGGGGAGGGGGGGGAGGGAGGGGGGGCATGATTCACATGCCATAGCGGTTAGACTGTATCTCAGGAAGGACAGGGTCTGCATGGGGCCCCGCCGATGAAAACGTCTCAGACAGAGAGACTTGGAAAAAACAGCAGAGGCTTTACCGGAGGGAGGGGCGAGTACAGGCAAACCTCCGCTACGGACACACCTGATTTCTCGCTACATAAGAGTGTCCCTATGCCGGGGAAGCATCCCTAAGGTTGATTGATACGCACCCCTCCTTGTGTTGTACAGTCTACGAGCCACCATGCCCGTGCAAAAAGAGTTGGCCTTACAAAGGGATTCTCCCTATCTTTGGTGTCCTTAAGCGAGGCACGACTGTACCCGTTCGTTGACCCGTGGACTCAAGACAGCGACGGGTGATTCTACAAAATGCTTCGACAGCCCGTGGACTACTTAATAGGAAAAATAAATAAACACACACACACGAACTACCCGTTCGAGATATACCCACGGTTGAACGGGATGTCGTAGAGTCTTCTCAGTGAGTGGAAGGGAACCGGCTGGGTACTGGACGTATTTCGAGTCTTTTCAAGACTTACACTGATCATATATATATCAGTGATACCAGCTGGTGCTAAGTGCAAAAACATCTGTATGGGTAACCTTCCTTTTTACAATGCATTAAGTCTCTCTCTCTCTCTCTCTCTCTCTCTCTTTGGACCTCCAGCCGCTACCACTGCTGACGTAGTACGGTAGCATGTAGACAGCACAATGCAATATCGAGAGCCACAAGCATGTGACAGTACGGTAGCAAGAGAAGACCGGATTGAACATCATGTATCGGCTTGTCCTGAACCTCGGCTACTCTGCAACCGGAGTCTCTCTCTGCTTCGTACGAGAATAAGCGGCAACTAGACAGAGGGCATGACACAGCCGAATCACAGGACAGCACACAACGCCACGCAGCTCAAGCCCGAACACAAGCACAAGCACGAGCACGACCCCAACCCCAACCCAAGCACAACCCAACCCAACCCCACACAGCAACAACAACCAAAAGAGACCAAGCCGAGGCGGAGGCAGAGACGGACGCAATGGTTCGTTCGTTTGGTCTCAACACTCTCACCCGGGGCGGGGGAGGTCTCGGCGCACGGCCTGCGAGCGCTTGCGGAACTCCGCCTCCTCGCGGGCGGCCTGCTCGGCCAGTAGCCGAGCGTCGCGGTCCGCCGCGTCTTCTTCTCGCAGAGGGGCCCCGTCAGCCTCCTCCATCACCTATCGCAATATAGTGCAATACAGTCGTGGTGGCGATGCAGGGGGGGGGGGGGGGGGG